GTTCCCAGCTGGTCCCGGGCTGCCCGTTGCGTTTCAAAGTGGCAGCGCTGCGTGGACACCAGGATCTGGCCCCAGACTTCATGCGGTGCTGCCACTTTGAAGCATCCCCTCACCTTCCCCTCCCTCACCCTTGCTGCCTCTTTCTGATAGGCAGCGGGGGCGAGGGGGAGAATGACTAGTTAACCAGTGTGTTGACCACTATCCAATAAGCATTTGCTTATCGGATAGTCGACCTAGATGTTCACATTCCTAGTGTCATCCCCTACATCTTTGAGATAGGGTATATATGTATGAGTGGTTAGGTCAGTACCTGGCCTAGAGAAGAGACCTGCAGTTGAACGGGTACTGAGGTTAGAAAGGGAGGCTGGCAAGGTAATGCTAGAGAAATTAGTTACAATAACAGCTGAAAGTATCTCATGGAGCCCTCAAAGTATCTGCCTGCAGACTGTGTCAATACTGGAGAGTGAATCACTGATGAAGAAATGAACAGAGGATAAATAGGTTTCACGAGATGGGTCAGTATCGGTGGGGTGTACCACTTACTACATCTTCATAATGGTGAGGGCTCTTTGAGGCTTTGGAAGCCCTCATTAGACAGGAGTCTGGATGGTATGGGGAACTCTGGTATCAGAGATTGTGCCTAAATAAGTACAGTGTGTTTTTTGCTTCTAGCCACAAAAATGGATACTAAGAAGTATTTTGCTTTGGTTCTGGCTTTTGACAGAGCCAAAAAAGTACCCAGACATGAACTTCTTCAAGACAGACCCAAAAGAGAAAATAACAGAACTCCACTTATCAGACCACAACTCAGACCCTCTCCAGCCATTATACACAATTTACAACCCATCTTGGAAAATGACCCCTCACTCTGAGGCCTTGGGAGAAAAGCCTATTCTCACTTACAGACAACAACACCCCCCCCCCCAACCTGAAACGAATTCTTTCCAGTAACCATGCCATACAATCACATCATAAGCATGGAACCCAGCCCTTTAACCAAACACGATGCCAACTATGCCCACATATCTATACTAGTGAATTCATCACTGGAGCCAGCAACATAAGCTACCAGATCTAAAGGTCATTTGACTGCACATCCAATAATTTGATCTATGCCAGCAATGTTCCACTGCTATATATATTGGACAAACTGGACAGTCTCTGCGGGAAAGAATCAATGGACACAAATCAGATATACATAAAGGAAACATACAGAAACCTATTGGGGAACACTTTTATCTTCCAAATCACTGTTTAAAAGATCTTCAAGTGGCTGTCTTGTCAGAAACCAGTTCTACTAGCCCATACACAGAGAAACATTGGAATTAAAGTTAATCTGCAAATTCAATTCACATGCTAATGGACTCAATCGTGATGAAGGGTGGTTGAGGCACTATCAACTTAACACTCCTTGAAGGTGCAAACAACTCTTTATGTTGACTCCTATGTCAGGAAGGATATTATCAATTGACTTT